GGTGTGGTGGGGGGGGGGGGGGGGTGGGTAGGGACATGTGAGGCTTGATGGAAATTGTCTAGTCCAGCATTTTCCCAACAGTTCCCTGGAACAAGCTACTTGAACATGGTCAGATAAGACAGGGCTACCTCTCAAGCCAACTTAAAGGCTCTAATAAGTCCTGCAATGGGGACACCTGTTTATAATCTTGTTATTTAACATGTTCTAAAACTCTGAACTCTCCTTCCCCCACTTCTTAGCTCTTAGCCATCCCTTGAAGCACATCTTTATATTTTTTAAAAGACAGAGATTTTTTTTTTTATTTTAGAGCATGTGCACTTGCATGAGAGACTGAGACAGTGAGAGAGAAACTGAGAAATCACCCCCCAGGGGGATGGCCATGCCACAGTCCCTTCTCCTCCATTCTCCTTTGGGGTTTCTGGGCACTTGGTATGAGTTTCAAGCTTCCGGGGTGGAAATTTAAACCATAGTCGGCCTTGTGGGAGTCTAGTGCCTTACCCACTAAGCCACCTGCTGGCCCCCGGAAGCACATTTTAACCCACCTCTTCATAGACCAACAATAGAGCTGAGCCCCAGAGGGGGTGGGCCTTACCCAGGGCAGAGTCACGAGCAGATCCAGGCAGCCTGACTCAGAATCATCTAGGACGCCCGGCATTAAATCTCATGTGCGCTAGAGAAACGAGTGATCTCGGGTGACCTACTTTCTCTGGGCCTTGGTTTCGTATCTATAAAGTGGGGGTAATACACCTGCCCACATTCCCAGGAGATCCTTGTGGGAGCCCGTGAGCCAACCTGAGTAGACATCTAGCACAGGGCCCAGAGCATAATGCTTGAAGCACAGCTTCGTCTTCGTGTAGTTTAGGATGAGGAAACTGGGCCTGACTTCGGACTCTTCTCTCAAGTTGCTTTTTCCATGGAGCCCCTGATAATAATCGTATTTTTCCATCCTTTTTATGAAACCCTTGCATTTTCTCTCAGGGGATTGGATTCTGTCTAGCTGAGGTCCCTAATCATGCATCTAAAAGGTTCTGTCATTATGTTGGAGCTTCCAATGACCCCATTTTACAGACGTGGGAACTGAGGCTCCATGACTCATTCAGACCCTCTGGATTAGCTAAGTGCTTAGCTGGGATCTCAGCCTGGGGCTGCCAGACCCCACCTGTTAAATACCTCTAACAGAGGATGGAGAAAAAGGCCTCCAGGAGGGACAGAGGGTCTCCTGGAAGAGGCATGGGCGAGCCTAGAGTCTGAGCTGGAACTTCTGAGACTCTGATTAAAGCAAGGTGGTGATAGTAATCGCTGTGTCCACAGGAGTGCTAAGCAGGCTCCATTTTTAGCTCTATTGTATAGACGCCGCAAATACGAATACGATCACGTATTGTCCGCATACATTGAGTCTTCCTCACAGCCCTGCAGGACAGAGATTATCACCATGCCCAATCTGCCAAGGGAAAACTAAGGGTCAGGGCAGTGAAAAGACTTTCTTGTCCATATCCAATCCAGCAGACAAATAGCAGTCCGAGCTCGGGGCCGGCAGGTGGTGTGGTGGTTAAGGGCGCTGGACTCCCATGTGGCCTATTGTGGTTTGAGTCCTGGGCTTGGCAACTTGCTTTCTCACTTTCTCTCTCTCTCTGGTCAAATTTAAATAAATAAATAAAGTTAAATAAAATAATTATTTAAAAAAAAGGAAACAAAAGCAGCAGTCCTCAAGTCTGCCTCTGGGTCTCGAAGAATATCTGTCATGTATCATGGATTGAGGTCTTCCTGTGTGCCCAGCCCTGTAATCACCACAATACCAGTGCCTTGCATTCCAGGTGGTGGGTCTGTACACACGTCACAGCTTCACCCCAGGGAGTACAATAATCCTCCTGGTGGAGCCATTTGAACTTCAATTTCCAGATAAGAAAACAGAAGGCCAACGTGTAGTGTGGTGGTTAAGACACTGGACTCCCACATGGCCAACTGCAGTTTGAGTCGCAGACCGGGTGGCTTGAAACTCCCACTGGGTGCATGTGTGTGCGTGCCCAAAATCCCAGGAGGAGAATGGAGGAGAAGGGATTATAGGGTGGCCATCCCCCCCCGGAGAAGATTTCTTGCTTCTCACTTTCTCTTTCCGTCTCTCAGGCGAGCACACATGCCCTATAGCAAAATCTCTATAAAAAGAGAGAGAGGGAAGGAAACAGGAGCACAAAGAAGTAATTCCCTCATTATTCTGGAGTGTGGTGGAGTCAGTTCGGGACTGGGTCCTGGCTTCCCATCCATCTTGAGAGTCCTGGCGGAACCCTGCCCCCCAACACCCAGCCTCCCACCCCATTGCTCATGGCACCCTGTGGCCTGTCTCCCAGCCCACCACACCCTCCAGCGGGAGCCTGTGATGTTTATAATTCTACCATAAGTGGCTTTGAAACTCCCTTGAACGCTACCGCTGCTGGGGCTTGTCCCTGCCCAGCCTGCGTTTGCAATGGCTTTTATTGATGTGCCGAGGGAGGGCTGGCTCTGCCAGGAACACACTCCTTTTAATGGAGTGTTAATTGGGAGGAAAGGAAAAGAAAGCTTTTTCTGCTACCCAACTTAATAGGGGTTGTGTTCCTGTCTCCTTTTTCTCTTTTCCCAAGTGGGATGTGGTAGCAACAGCCCTGGGCCTTAAATGCTGGACAGGCCCGGGCTCTGCTCAGATCCTCTGCTGACTCATGGCACGACCTTGAACCAGTCCCACCTGGGCCTCTGCCTCCTCAGCTGCAAAATGGGGCAAGACACCACCAGCTCCTCAGGGCTGAAAGTGGGATTATTTTGGAGAAAGATTATCAAAGTGTTAGCCTAGCCCTTGGTACCCAGGAGATAATCAATATATCATCAATGCTCTTCCGGTCTCTCATTCCGAGCCACCTGGGTCTGAATCCCAGGTGTTCCTTGAACCTCTCTCTGTGCCTCGGTTTACTCATCTGTAAAAAGAAGCAGCAGGCAGGAGCCCCAGCCTCTGGTTGTATTAGCTGGGATGTTTTAGGTAACAGGGCTTAGCCTGGGCACCTAGCAGATAGTAAGCACTCATAAAGGTGCCCATCAGATCAGGGTAATGACTAGTCAGCCTCAGTGTCCTTGTCTGGGAGAAGGGGAGGCCTTGTGCTTAAAACTTGTGGTTATTAACAGTTGTGGCTCAGCGTGAAGCTTGCACTTTTAGGGCCTGTGTCCTAAAGCTGGGGTACAATAACTCCCATGTCCTCTTTGTCATGTATCCCCCCTAACCCCTGACCCCTTAACCTATTCTTTATATTAAATTCTGGCTGTCAGAATACCCCACGTGGTTTCTACTTTGCTGCCTGTGACAACACCCAAGCCCCGGCAGCTGGCAGCTGGGCCAGGTGACGATGTCTCCTGAAATCTGGGAATGAAGAGCTGTTCCCGAAAGAGAGCCCTATGGACTGCATTCCTGAGCCCTGAGGTCACCTGTGCCATGCTCAGGAAGCTTCCTCTCTATGGAAGCCTTTGGAGGATCCCAGGGTCTTCCTCTCGGGGACCCTCTCCCTGACTCACCCGACACCTCCACGTAGCCATCCTTGGTCTTCACCATCAGCTCCTCTGGCTTGAAGCTGTGCACGTTGACACACACTTTCCAGGGCTCTCCAGGGAAAGGTGGGGGGCTCCTGCCCTCGGCAGGAACCCCAAAGATGTTTGTGGCAGTGGGCCCCCGGGGCACCATGCCAGACCTCAGGGTCCCGGGCCAGGCAGAGGAGAGACGAGGCAGGGCCCAGTCAGGCCAAGAGGCGGTCAAGTCGTTGGGGAAGGGGTCCATACCAAAGCCATCGTCCAGCAGGCGTGAGGAGAGGGGCGAGTCCCGGAAGGGGTCTCTGCGCAGGCGGCTGGGGTAGTGGCAGGAGAAAGGCATTTGACCATCTGCCATGATGGCTGCTGAGCTCAGAGGGGAAACAGAGGCTCAGAGAGAAGGAGCCACCTGCCCAAGGTCACACAGCAAGGTGATGGGGGTGGGCTGGTCTTCACTGCTTATTCTTTAGCTTCAGAAAATGCAGATCTTCTGCCAGAGGGTCGCAGGACCATCCACTGGGATGCACAGCAGGCTGGGGTCCCAGCCCCCAAAGACAAGACCCCTGGCTGGTCCAGCAAAATCCCAGAGGGCCCCTCTCCGCACCACCTCGCCAGAGCTCAGCAAGCCACCGTCCTCCCAGGCTGCCCAGGCTCGCAGCCAGCCCTCTGCGTTCTACAGTGAAGCCAGGAGCTTAATAAACCCGGGACGCGCGCCTAGAAACTTCTCCCGGCTTCCTGAGGCTGGGAGCCTTCTATTTATTTGCTGCTGGGGGCTGGAGGCGGGTTCTGCGAGCTCCTCCTGTCACAGGAGTATTCGGAGGTGATGAACCAGCTCCGGAGAATCCGCTGAGAGGACAGCCCAGGGAGGAGGCCTGGGAGGGGCCGTCCCAGTTGGGCCAGCCTCTCCGGACACTCTCCTCCCCCTGCCTGCCGCGGGGCTCAGCTCCGCCCTCGGCTCCCTCCCCTGGCCGGGCACTAAGGCCTGACTATAAATAACTCTCCACCCTGGAGGACTCAGGTCACCATCTGAAAATACCTTTTCCGAACTGTGTTGCATCCTGCGAGGGCCCCCGGGGACTGCAGAAGGGGGAGAGAGAGAGAAGCCCAGTGCATCTGAAGGGAGGCGGCCCGGGGTCCGAATCCGGTTTACAACCCGCCTCAATGTCCTCCAAGGGGAGTAAGAAAGACAGATGGAAAGAACACACACACACACATGCACGCACACACACACACCAGGGTGCTTTGGAAAGTGTGTGCAAAAATCAAATTAAAGTATGCATTGATTTTGGTGCAAACATTTTGAATTCTAGCATAACTTTTTTCACAGACGCCACTGCTATGTACTTTCTTAAGACCCCGATAAATTTAGGGTTAAACCAGGTGAGAAAGACATTATTTGGGGGTGGGCCGATGAGGGACTGTCCCTGAAATGGGTGTAAGGATTTTGCCGTCAAGGAGAAAGACCAGAAAAAATTCCCAGGATGCTATGGACAAGTGGGATTTATAATTAAATAACCAAGGTAGGGTTGGTCAGTGGTTAGAAAATTACTACGAAGGAGACCAGCAGTTAGCATAATGGCTATGTCGCTGGACTCCCATGTAGTCGACCGTCATTTGAGTCCCGGACCTGGTGGCTTAAAACTCACACCAGGCACGTGTGCCCGCGTGCCCAAGATCCCGAGAGGAGAATGGAGGAGAAAGGATTGCAGTGTGGCCATCTCCCTTGGGGGGTGATTTCTCGCTTTCTGTCTCTCTGTCTGACTGGTGAGCGCACGAGTGCCTTATAGAAAAAAAAACAACAACAACAAAAAAAAAACTCTCAAAAAAAAAAAAAACCAAAAGAAAATTACTAAGAGGGAAGTCGGCAGGAGGCATGGTGGTTAAGGATGCTGGATTCCCACATGGCCCAACGTGGTTCAAGTCCTAGACCTGATGGCTTGCTTTCTCACTTTCCCTCTCTCTCTCCCTCTGTCCCTCTCTGGAAATTAAAATAAATCAGTGAATAAATAAAGTTCGATAAAATAATTATTTTTAAAAAATCACTAAGAGGAAAATCAACAGTCTGAGGGATTCTGGCTAAATTGACCTAACGAGATTCTTGCTGAAGGCGGCCATTATGCTCAGACATTGTCTGGTGGAGGGTGGAGGATGAGGAACCTCATCAGACTGAGAGGGTGGCAGTGAGGGCTGTCCTGGCTAACTGATTTTGCAGCGTTCTTGCTAAGATTGGATTGTACAAGGGAATGCATGGCTGGACCTAGAAGAAGGTTCTGGAACCTGATTGAAATTGCTCAAGCAAAGAGTTCTTGGTAGTAATAAAATCTCCCCAGGTGTCTCTGAGCTGACTGGTTTCCCACCGTAAAATGGCCACAAAGCAGCCTTCTCTGGGATGTGTCTGAGGAATAAATCTTATTTGGCATTTAAGACTCATCGAAACTTTTTTTCTTTTCTTTTTTACTTTTTAAAATTTATTTATTATTGTTTTCTAATTTGACCAGAGAGAGAGGGAAAGTGAGAAAGGAAGCCACCAGGTCTGGGACTCAAACCATGGTTGGCCACGTGGGAGTGTCTAGTGCCTCTAACCACCATGCCACCTGCTGGCCCCAACTTTTTTATTTTCGATTTGAAAAAAAAATCTTCAGGGACCAGCAGATGACGTAATAGTTACTGCTCTCCCATGTAGTTGACCATGGTTCGAGTCCTAGACCCAATGACTTAAACTCATGGTAGGTGTATGTGCATATGTGCCCAAAATCCCAAGAAGAGAATAAAGGAGAAGGGATTGCAGCATGGCCATCCCCTCAGGGAGTGATTTCTCACTTTCTCTCTGTCTCCCTCTGGTAAGTGCACATGCCTTATAGCAAAAATACCTCTCTAGGAAAAAAAAAAAAAAAAAAAAAAAAAAAACAGAAAGATAGAGATTCCTCCAATAGGGTCTTCTTGCCACAACCTACCTCCAGTCTCGGCTGGTCCAGACCACAGGCACATGCACGTGTGTCCATGGCATGCTCAGGGAAGTCCTGGTACATGAACCCAGGACCTATCACATGTGGGCCCAGTTGTGTTAACGCTATGCCCCTATATTTTCAATTCTGAGTTGTCAATCACATATGCTTCCTATATGCCAGGCCTTGTTCTAAGTGTTCTTACAAATATTAATTCATTTCATCTTCCCCAACAATCACGTGAGGTGAGGGTACTAGTGTTAGCCCATTTTACAGATGAGGAAACCGCCATAGGAAGTGTTAACAACCGAAAGCTTCTGTTATTATCGCGACTGTTATTAAAAATAATTACCAACGGGGGGGGGGGGGGCGGGG